ATTTTTAACAAAGATTTACACGAAAACAGCACAAATTTTATATATTTATGTGCAAAAATAAGGCATATACCATTATATCCATTCCAATTGTTTTGGTTTAAAAGGCTTTTTATAATATATTTAAGATTTTTGAATATTGTGTGTGGGCTCCACTGCGGACAAATTGAAAGTGCATAAATATGAGTACACTTTTGTCATTATATTTTTAGAAAGTTCCGTTAGAAATGCCAAGCAGAGCATATTGCTTATTAAATTTTGGACAATCAGCTGATAGTAAGAACGGGTTTCGGTTGAAGTAAGTAAGCTAAAGTAAGTAAAGTAAGCTTTAAAAATTAAAGAATTCGCGCAAAAGTGCATTTACAGACAGTATGCATTCAAACAAGAATTAAAAACCATAAAACATTATCATATCTTATAGTTGGGATAGATTTTTTATTTTTTTTTTTATTATCAATCAATCAATAGTTATATTTAAAATCTTTCGGGAGTTATGGACAATAATTAAATTTTATAATGGGACCTTAACTTAATGAAATATTGAGTAGTACAATGTTTGCTTATCCTAGGAAACTAATTTTAACAGTAGACCTTAGCGATAGAATTCAAGTTAATTATTGTCGGGCCCTTTAGTGGGCCTTGTTGGTTTTACAACTGCAACTCAGTCCCGTTCGCCCGAGTGGCAGAGGTCCAGTGGGTGGGTCCCTTTCAGCCTCATCCTCCTGGGATAGATAATAGACGTCAGTATATGCAGGTCTTGCAGCAGTCTATAATTCGTGCAACTTTCATCAAGCTTGGCAAAACCTGCACGAAGTACCATTTATTACGTTCCATTGATTTTCTTTACTTTCGAACCGCGCCTTTTGCCCTCCCTCGTTTTTTTAATCGATCGTCCACCTGCACTTGCCGCCTTACTCGGGACCGTCTTTCTTGTTCGCACTTTCTCGTTTCGTTTTCGGTCGCTCCGCTTATCTTTGTAAAGCGTTGAGTCACTCCCGCATTTATTATTCTCGACAGATTATTTACATAACCTTAGATATTTAATAAACATAAACACCTAAAACAACGGGACTATTCTTTATAAAATATCGTTTTCCCATGGGTTTAAAATTGGGGAAACCGCTTGGTAATTTAAAACTAAAAGTTTAAGATTTCTTAACACATAGCCAACAAGTTTATTTCAAATTTTCAAAGTTTTTAAAAATGAATTTTGGCCTAAAAAAATAAAGGGGTCGAGTGAACCATACTACTGCGTTACCGTTACCGGTTACTACTAAACCTACTGATAACCGAACTCCGAAAATCTCAAAGAAAAGAACATACTAAATATAAAGGATGTGTTCAAGCATTGAACACAACTGTAGATATAAATTCTAAAGATAGAGTTGCAAGGGATGGGACCCAAGAAATAAGAGACAAACAGCATGGTCTAAAACCGATCCCCTGCAGCCTAACACAAACACCCACATAAGTGGTGCGCTTATCGCACTTGAGAGGGGGTCGCATAGCATGTTAGCGTGCAGTGCATTGATAAGTAGTTTTAAATAGACTTAAGATTTTCATGTATGCTACTTATTAGAGAACTTTACCAAATAAAATGAGTTTCCAAAAGGAACTCATTGGAGTAAGACCCTTTATTTGGGGCTCCTCTTAACAGGATGGAGGGCTGGAGGATGGAGCAGGGCTGTAAAAGTCAAAGTGGTTTGGTTAGTACAAACACATGCTAGACGAAAGAATTCACCTCACAACGACTACTGCTGCCGCAGCTGAAATGACGAAGAGGCAAAAGAAACCACCGAGCATCTTCTATGCCACTGCCCAGCTCAGTAGTCTTTTAGACGTTCACATCTAAGTGCTAGATTTCTTCCTTACCAAAGCCTAAGGTCAGGGAAATCAAGGGACAAAACACGGTCTAAGTGTGTCGGCTTGTCTAGGGAAGACCTATAGCCTTAAACTAACCTTGCATTATGGGCCACCCAAATTTTTTTGTTGGAAATCAATTTATGACGAAGGAAGTTTACGGCGTAAAAGAAGACTTGCTTCCGAACTTGCAAAGGAAAATTCAACACTTCTTGTTGAAGCAGCTGCTATGTCTGCTAAGAAGGCCAAAAAAACGGATATTTCTCACATATTAAAAACGACAATAAATAGTCCTGACAGTTCAAAATTAAGGCAACAACTTTCATTGAAAGAGCCTATACCATTATCTCCTGATAAGGCCCTAGCATTTATTATAGAAAACTCGTTTTCCAAGCAGCAATATATTAACATACGCTTAAAAAGTATCGAAAAGAACTGCAATATATATACAAGCTACAAAAAGGTGAGAGAAGCTAAGGAAAAGTTTCGGCCTATAGATATAAGCGTATCCGATACTATTGCCGAAGTGCCAATGCAGAACTTACTGAACCATACAGCATCTCGGATCATTTTATATCAAAAGCCTGTTTTCCAACAATTTATTGATATAAATAAAGTAAAGCTAATAGTAAGCTATGGTTTTGACGGTTCAACCGGATAGAGCGTTTATAAGCAAAGGTTTAATGATACCGAACCCATTTGCCTGGACCAATCTTTGTTTGTCACTACCATAATTCCCCTTCAAATTTTGAGAATTATTTGGAGAAACAGATATCCACAATCCGTTAAATATTGCAGGCCGCTAAAAATTGAGTTTGCTTAAGGGGTTATATACCTTTTTTATTTTCAAAAAATCGAAAATTTTTTTTTTTATTTTTATTTTTTCGATTTCCTTAAGAACATTCCTTAAGAATCGACTTTTCACGCACAAACTTTTTTTTACGCCGAAATGAATTTTTTAGTGAAATTTCTAGAGACCAAAAAGTTCATTTTTAGCATAAAACGTTCCCGTATACATACAAAAAAAAAATTTTTGAAATCGATCGTTCAAGCACAAGGAATTACACTAAACTAATGAAATTTTTTTACTTTTATGGTTTCAGTTGACCTGTTCGACCTGGGGAACTGTCACCGCAAGGCTCTAGAAAAAAAAGCCTCTAAAGGAAACAGCCACCCCATAAAAACTATTAACTAGCCACCCCCAGAAAAAATTAAAACATCCGCGTAATTAAATAATTGTTACATACCTAAAAAAAAATCCGAACTTTCCTCTTTTTCTTCGACGAAGAAGGTATATAACCCCTTAAGCTGCGGCCAGATAGTTTTTTATTCAATTTTATTTTAATTTTGGAATATAGCCCAATTAATTTCTCACGTTTATAAATATTGCTATAATAATGCGAGGGCTGACAATAAAGTAAGATCTTTTTTTTCATAGAAAATGACATTTATTTTGTAGCCAAGGTCTTGGTTACTTTTCTACATAATCGCCATTTTTTCCAACACCTTGCGCATCCGTACGATAAACTTGTCTATGCCGGCAGAATACCACTCTCCGTCCGCCTCGCGCACCCACGTGTTGACCTCTTTCTGAACCTCCGCGTCACTATCAAACTTCTTCGCTCCGAGATGTTTTTTCATGGCGGGGAACATGTGGTAGGCACATGTTCTGCCTCCACTGCTTGAACAATCGCATCCGAGACCGACGGTCGGCCACATCTCTCCTCGTCGTGAACATTAGTGCGCCCGGAATTGAACTCGCGGCTCCACTTACGCACGTTTTTTATGTCCATACACTTTTCCCCGTAAACTTCTACTAGTTGACGATGGCACTCAAAAAACGTATTACAGAATGCAATTCGCACTTGATCGCTGAAGCGAGGGGTACCTCCATCGTTGACGGCTGCTCAGCCAAGACTGAGCGGTCGGGGAAGCCTCACCCAGCAGCAAAGTGATAGTGGGCGAACCAAGGAACCGGTGTTGCCAGATTTCGCCTAGCGCGTGATCCGGCGAAGTTGCAGCGTTGGAGACCTTAGTTTATTGTCAGCCGTCGTAATTATAACACTTAATAATTACATTATACAATTTCTTTCTGTTGGGAGTTTCTGTTCGGCATTTTAGTCTCCTGCTACTATAAAACCAAGTAATTTGGTTAGGACAATAAATTTTCCTTCTTAGATTGTAAGGCGGGCAGCTTAGCGATTAGGCGCTAAGGTTAGCGATTGAGGCGATTATGTTAGATGTGGCCTGCAAGTAGTATGAAGCTACCCTTTGGTAAAACATGTGACTGATGTAACATTGATTAATTTTCTGGCCACGCTGTGTGCTTTGCTAACCGAATAATCTGTACTTTCCATTTTCGTGTTATTTTATTTATTTGTGAGGTGCATTTTCACCAGTAGCATAACTTCAATAGGATTTTCTTACAGGAATTACGACAATGTTAGTTTATGCCGTGAGTTACTATTGGCGTTCCTCATTGATATTAGTAGAGTCTGCATACATTATTTAGGCGGTTAAGCTACAAGTGCTTGCATGGTCGTTTTCAGAAATGACATCTATTCCATCAAATGACATCTATTCCAAAAAAAGTTTTAGAACTAACTCAAATTTTATTAGGAGAAGTCCCTAATTTTTCAAAATATTGAAAAGTCAGTAGTCAAACGTCGACCAAACATGCGGATGGGGTTTAAGAAGAATGTGGTTAAAAAATATTTTTGATTTATAGATATATAAGATAATATTACTATCTAATTTTTATTTTTTATCTTTAAAATTTTTCACCTAAGTAATTTTATGAAGAATATACATTTTTTCACTTTCATCCAAGTTTTTACAACCTGATGAATTTTTGGCAAATCTTTGGATGAAATTATCTAATTAGAACAAAACCCTTCGATTATCGAATCTAAGATAACACACTAAGATAATTCTGACTCTTTGACTTTATGACAGAGATAAGTCTGTAGCATAGTAAGGAGAATCACATCACATAGTAAGGAGCGGTTCGTCACATACGTGCACTAGTGATTTATGCATGTTTATATCCTATTTTTAAAGTTAACTTTTCTTTCTTGTTCATTAAGAAATATGTGTGCCATTTTAAATAAGTTTACTGTGCCCAGTGTCAAATTTTTACTCACCCTAATTCTTTTCGCATCATCCGATAAATGTCATATTGGTAATCACCAGTAGCAGAAAAAAGTTCATCATCGGTTGAGAGATCATTAAAATGGCAACATTCATCAATAGTAACTCTTGATAAGGTGTAGTCAATAATTGTAACGATTACTCCTTTTGAAGAAACAGTCAGTTTCTGGCCGTTAAACTTATATAAAATTTGTTTTTTGTCAGTTTTTTCGATTAATATATTGCCCCAATGAAGGTCTCTGTGTTCAAACTCATATACTTTCTCGCCAATAGCCAAAGTAATTATCACCTATAAAAAAAAATATGGTTCAAAAATAGTTTTAGTTACGTAAGTACAGATCCTACATCTTACATTAAATAGTGACAGATCAGTGATAGTGAGCCAAGTACCGCAACTCACCCAGCAAATATTAAAGTTATAAATAAATTACAATATTTATTAAACACCACCATCTCCAAAACCTTCGCCGACAAAACCTGATGTCTGGCCGAACGAGTGCCCTGGACCACTGTACGCTAAAGCATGCAAATTCACATGCATAAATTTATTATAATTATAAGCACCATTTAGTGAATTCGGTATTACACGAAAGTTGACTACGATTTCAACCACAAAGCATGAATTGGTGATGCGCAAAGAATTTAACGCTATATAAATCATGTGGCAACACCGTACATAATCGTATTATGTAATACTTGCATAATATAATGCATTATTATGCATGAATGTATTATTAATAATTAATACTTCGGTTCTTATTTGCCGATTGTTAATAAAGAATTTAAATTTATCCATTTTATAAAAGTTGTGATGTGCTAAACCAAAACTAGTGCATTGTTTTAAATAAATAAGTGCCACGTAATGAGCTCATTGAGCAACGATCAAAAAAACGAGCTTAGAAGTTCAGTGAACCAAAGAAAGGGCTCCTACTCTTACTTTTCAACCCGCGATACCGAAGTGAAAAAATCGGCGTTTAAGAGCAACTCGGCTCTACTGACCGCTAAAACCTAAAGAACACGGTCTTGCTCACCCGCTCTGCTCACTCCGACTTCCGCGTCATGGAGTTCTCAGTGTAAAACCCCCCCTCCAATATCGGAAACCAATTTTTCACCAACAATAAGCAGTGCGACAATTTCTGCAAACAAAGCGACAACCACTGAAATTCAAAGTACCGCGACGTCAACGACTATAGCGAGTACAAAAACAACAACTTCGGAAAGAGCCAAAGTGGCCCCGGCCACACAGACTGGAATGGATCGCTACATCCAAATTAAGCACAAGCTTTGACCACAGAGTAATCCGGCAGGCAATAAAATAAAAATTAACCGCGTCCTGAAGATCGACGAAGCACCAGGCAGATCCACTAGTAACAGATTTGCCCTACTGGCGGAGGTTGAGACAACCGACTAGCCAATCTTTATCAGGGAAAAAACCTCGAGTGCCCTGGTCAACGGAATTGGGGCGTTCATCGGGAACGTTGACAACTTTCATCTTGTCTCGTTTATCAAAGTGATCATTCATGAAACAAAGGTGCAAACCAAGACTGAAGTACACTTCCGAATCGTGTCCAAATATCTGGACAATGCTCAGAAAAACTATTACATGTACCAGCTGAAAAGCAGTAAGGGCCAAGTACAAGTGCTAAAGTAAAAGTCGTAGTAAAGGGAATCGAACCCGATGTTACCGCCGCCGAAATAAAAACCGCCGTTAAGAAAAGGGCTTTGCCATCAAGAATGTTATGAACATTCTAAATAAAGATAAAAAGCAACAACTCCTCTTCAAGGTCAAGAGTATGGACACACTAGGTCATACTGCACACATTGGGCTGTGTGTATTGTCTGCGGGGACGCCCACAACTTCGCTTACTGCACTACAAACAAGAACAGTACCGCGAAGAAATTTGGAAGCTGCGGAGGCAACCATACGACAAACTATAGGTTTAAAAGGATGAATGGTGTACAAGGAGTTGAAGAGTCACATGCGTCAAGCGACCGCAACGCGCAATCAAAATTCACAGAATGTTTACATTGCTTCAAAAACTACACCAGACGTCTTCTTTGCTAAAGAACTACGCCAGACGTCTTCTTTGCTAAAGATTAGGTCCCCTGAACATCACCAACGGCTTCTCCTATGACGATGCTTTACGATCTGGAAGGAATATTCCAACTCAGCCTACAAACAACAAACAACACTTGTTCAAAACCAGAACATGGTGATGCAGCTGCTCTTAGCACAACAGTCTAAACAATCTATGCAGGCTTTACGAATATCAATGTGGAACGCCAATGGTCTTACGGCATAAACTAGAGTTATCACAATTCTAGATCGAAAACCATATTGACGTTATGCTACCGGTGGAAACGCATCTTACAAGCAAGTTCAACTTTCAAATAAGGGGCTAGCTACACAATCTACCTCACAGATCATCCAGATGGGAAAGCCCACTTTACTGCCCTCCTCGTTTCTCAATCTCGGAAGGACGATTTATGGACTTCTACAATTCACTTGGGGATTGTTAGGATTTATAATCGTTAGGAGGAGCAGGAGACAACAAAGCCAAGCATACACACTGGGGATCACGTCAAGTGACTTCCAAAGGAATCCAATTGTACAATGCAATTATAAATGTGAGAAATAAACTTGACTCTGATTCCCCTGGAAGTCCCACATACTGGAAGTCCCACATACTGGCCAAACGACTCACGCAAGCTCCCAGACCTTATTGATTTTGCGGTGACAAAAAACATACTTCGCAAACTAATAAGTCTCGGACTTATCATCAGACCACTCGCCTGTGCTTCGAACGCTTCTTCAAAGCCCAGAATTGGTTATTTCACACCCCTTCAGCTTGACGACGCCAAAAACAAACTGGCTTAAGGATGTAGTCTCATGTTCCGGCCTACTTTTACAGGTTATTTAAACAAAAATTATTTGTTATAAAACATAATGTGATCGTTTCAATTTTCAAATATGTTTTTATAGACATTACTCACTATTTGTAAATATTTTTTAAATTTATGCTTTATTAGTTTAATACACTTTATAGCATGCCAATGTATACATCTAAAAAAAAGTGGTAGGTCCCTGGCGCAGGTGATTTCGACTGCTAGAGTCATCCGAAACAAAAAATTAGAATAGATTATTGTTTTGTAAGCTAATGGCTCTGTCCCGTACTAGAATGAAATATTTGTATCAATAAACAACAAAATAGCGAACTCACAAAAAAAAACAAATATTTTTTATAATTAATGAAAAATAAAAAAATTTATTATTAAAAATTAATGATTTTAGTACGGGACAGAAGTTTTAATTTTTAGAACAACTTATCCAAATTTCTGCTAGATCGATACCATAGAATTTTTTAAATCACTTGTGCCGAAACAAAAATGTCGTTTCGAGAAAAACGCGTTTAAAGTTTAAACGCTACCGAGTATTTACCTTCTTCTTACCTTCGACCTTCTGCTAAAAAATAAAACTAAAATCAAACGCCTACGGGTCCCCAGCCACATCGGAATCAAGGGCAACGAAAATGCCGATGCAGCAGCGAAAGGAGCGACCATCGCTCCACTATTTTCTACAACAAATGTTAACCGTGGAGACATCAATAAACAATTAAAATCAGAGTCCCTCAAAAAAAAACCTACAATCTTGCAGAAAGCATCGCAGTGGTACCAACAAATTAATTCTAAAGCAATAAGCATAGCCGACTACAGTAAAATTGCACAGACCTCCAACCTCCCAAGAAGAGAGATTACCAAAATAATCCGGCTTCGACTTGGCCACACCAGACTCACCCACGAACATCGCTTCTCACAGACACCAAACTACCAATGCCAGTTCTGCACCACGGACACCATATCAATCTCCCATATCCTTGACGACTGCCCCGCCCTACAAACACATAGAACAAATTTTCAAAATTTTAAACTCACGGAACTATTAATCCGAAACCCTTATCCTGCAAACCTCCAGCTAATTCTAAACTTCCTTAAATCAGCTAACCTTTTGCATCTTATATAACTTTATATGTTATTAAATTTATAAATAATTTATATGTAAATAACTTGTTACCACACGTGTAAACAATCATTATTTGTTATAAGTTTAATTTATAAGCAAATATGTAACACCTTCCGGCCAAAAGCCACCGCAGCTACGGCCGATCCCCGTCTGTACCTAAAGTTTGCAACTTTTGAGTGCAGAGTACAATAAATAAATAAACAAAAAGTACGTAATAGCACTCGCCCCAGAGTTTAACCTGGAATCGGACATCGACTATACTACGAGCGCCCTGGAAGAAGTACTCGTTGCGGCAGCTACAATCTGTACTCTTCATGGGAAAGAAGTAGACTGACACAAATACTACAAATCTAAACAGCAAATCAAACAGCTCGTGCGAGAAAAGAGACGCACGCGTTGTGATTGGCAAAACAGCAGATCACCAGCTTCAAAGCAACGCCTTAAGGAAGCAACCCGATCACTCGACCAGGCTCTTCACCAACAGGAAGAAAATGCACAGCTGAGGTACATCCAGAATCTTTCGCCAACAAGCACAAAGTACTTCCTGTAGAGGGCCTACCCAAATCTTAGCGCCCAAATTGAAACGACCACCCTGACAGGAAACTCTTCGGGATGTTGGGCTCGCAGAGACTAAGACCGAGCTGAAACATTCGCCACACATCTCCAAAGTGCCTTCCAGCCAAACCCAGCCTCAAATTCATTCCTCCTGCCAGTAATTCAGCCAGAGGCTACCCCTCAGCCAGCTGCACCTTCATTCCGGCCGAACGAAATTGAAGAAGTCATAAGAGGGCTAAAACCAAAAAAGGCTTTCACAAAAAAGAACTTCCAACATGAGCTATAGAGGTCGTCTGAAAACTATTTAATGGGATCATTAATCTTGGCTATTTCCCAAAAAAATAGAAGAAATCCATCATTATAATGATATCGAAGCCTAAAAAATACCACACTATTCCGTCATCATACAGACCAAGAAGCCTTCTACCTTGTTTTTCTAAATTATTTGAAAAATGCATGTTAACTCGCGTTACACCACATCTGGAAGCTTGCAATATTATCCCGGCACACCAATTTCGCCTTCGAAGAAATCACGAAACCATCGAGCAACTGAACAGACTAACATCCGAAAGCTTTCGAACGAGTTTGGCTCAATGGACTCATGCACAAAATTAAAACGTTTGTTAACATACATTCACAAGCTAATGGAATCATACCTCTACTATAGGGTATTCTCAGTGAGATGCAACGGAGCTACTTCGGGCGACTACATC